CTTCGTGTGATGCCTTGATTCACTGTAGAAACCCATTGGTCAGCAGGATAATTTAATATTCATGGGGTGCTTTGCATTGATCGTTTATGGTTGGATGTGTAGAGAGCGGAATATGAGGTAGATCCGTGTTCGCACGTTTCCAGGTGGAGTGTGATTTATAAAGAGAACTCTGCATTCAGCTGGGTGTGCGCACGGTTTTATAAATCTGGATCTTTTTTATTGCATTCGCCATTTTCAGCTTCTGTGCTTACAGACACTTTTAGTATGAATCCTTTGCACTGTTTTATAAATGAGGCCCCTGGAGTCTAGTAAATTTTCTTATGCAGTCTAAACTTCCTCAGGGGTCCAGAAATCCATGCCCCGTCCTGAAAACCCCCGGAAAGACCTGTGTATCATTTGATAGCCGTACCCAGAAGCGTGCAGAAACAAGAAAGAATCAACCTTAACCTGGCCGGGAGACACAAACTGATTTCACATCTGATTGCTTTAACAAGTTAACGTTAATTCACGAGATGTCAAAACCCAGCGCTGTGTCTAACCAAATGTAACATTGGCAGCCTTCTCCCCTGTGTTTGATGTATATAATCCATCCTATAAGAAAGTAAATACATCCAGGTTTTAAGAACGATACCCCACGCGGACCCAACTCATACACTACATACATACCACAAGGATCTGAAGCCATGTGGTCTTAGGTTGGGTCTCAGGTCCTATGGTTTGGGTGGACCCATGAAGACCTCTGATGCAGTCTATGGTTGCACTTACATGCTTCTACAGTAGCCCAAAAAGGACAAACCAAACACTTGCTCTAAAGAGGGCCTTTCAACATTTTACGTTACCTCAACGCCACCAAAGTTTCTTCTATGGAAGGGTAGGGTCAAGGAAGAGGTATTTAGTTGCTAGATGTCACTTAATCCTACACACTGGTAACACAGTCGACCTTAGGGGACAAATATTTTTATAGTTCCATTTAAATGACGAGATGATTTACCTTTGTCTCCAGTCAAAGACTTTCAATGGCACACAACCCTGACAGGAGACACAGGGACACGTCTCTCTGCAGTGCAAACTTCCAGAGGCTGCTGCTGCCAGGTAAAATCATCACAAATGATGACTTCACAAACTGGGATCAGACAGTCTGTATTTATGACTGTGCAATTAGAATAGAGAGGAAAGGTTACAGATACTGTAGTAAATTGCTAATGGACCTTGTAATGAGTCACATCTGACTTTGGTCGATGTTGCAGTTACTGCACAGTAACACTGGGAGAGTGCAATGACACCCACATGCCCGCAAGATCTGTGCTCACCACAGCACAAAGGTGATTAAATGAGTAGTGTTGGTGCACACTGAGAGACACACACACGCACAACCACACACTGTACAGGATATACACAAACTTGGCTCTAATGCATTATTAGATTCATAAAGCTCAGTCCCATCCGTCCCCTCCATTCCCTTTACATCCATATACTGAAGCCAAACTATTTCAGAGGCTGGGGGAGGCATTCATCAGGGACAAAAAAAGAGAAAGATAGAGAGAGAGAGAAAGAAAAGGTGAATAAAACTGCAGGCCGACAGAGAAGAAGATAGGAGGAGAAGAAGAATGGGAGAAAGCCGAAACACATCTGTCACGGTATGTGGGTGGGAAAAAAGAAAAAGAAAAGAGCCTGCTAAATGTTTCAACATTTACTTTTTGTCAGACTAGTACATTAACCACTGCTCCTCACCCCTGTGGACCAAAGCGACATCACCGCACACATAAATGCAGCATTTCAAGTTCACTATGCATCTTCAAACAGATTATGAGAGCCTTCTCATGTCACTGCCAAAAACAAGAAGTCAACACAAGCTTCGCATTGATGCCCTTTCTACTGTATGTGTGCGTGTTGGCTTGAGAAGGTAACATCAGCATTGGAATCAAGCTATCTTCGATTCCAAAGTACTTCTGAGTAGAAATCTTGGAGGAATGATGCTGTGTGGGTCAGGGAAGAACCCACTCAATTTTGGTGCTGATCTAGATCAGGGGGGCTGATCCAGGATTTCATTTTCACTTGCTTCAACATTGCAAGATAGGGCATTTGTCAACATTGTCATTGATTTCGCAAAGAATAATAAATGGATTTGATGCAAGATGCAGTGTTCGTACCCAGAAAATGTTGGCTTAATTTTTGGATCTGGTTATGCATCTTTTTCTCCAGTCTCTGATTAGTTCATTAATACTCAGACATAATAATGCAGTTCATACAGGGCCGTGCTTAATATTTTGTGAGACTTTTGAATTCTCTTACTGACACTATATCTAAAAGATGTTAATTCAACTCTATGGTCATCCTGAACCCTTGGCTTATGTGGCTTGTCATTTGAACTGCTTTACATTGAAAATGTTTCTGATCTCAGACATGTTTAGGGGACTGATATCCAGTGTGTGTAATTTGGTGCAGATAAATAAAAATGGGGATCCTTGGCAGAGGTATACACTGTGTATACACCGAGTGCCATAGTTTTCTACTCTTTTAATCAGGCTCTCATCTTTTTATTTAAAGATATCCCCTTTCTCCATGTCATAGGAATCGCCAGGGCATCACTGACAGTCTGATTAGCAGAGGTGGTTATGTGGCAAGGTGAAAGGTGGGACCCCCTAAAGCTGCTAAGTGACAAGTAATTTATTTTTCAGTCTCATAAGGACTTTTAGAGATGACATTCACTTCTCACCTGCCACCTGCCCACCCACAGGTTCCCTGTCTGTTAGCTACAGAGAGGCTGCAGTTATGAATACTTATTATTACACACCAAAGTAAAGTACAGGCACAGATCCTCACACACACACACACAAACATACTGTCAAATCTCTTGTCATTGATCTACAGTAATTACGTTTGCCCCTGACTGCTTGGTGCTACCACAGCTCTTCTTGTCATCTGCATAATGAATGAACATGAGACACTTTACCTGCTTTCTACTATGGCAGAAAATGCAGTTCTCATGTATGGCCTGCTGTGTATGATGCACACTATTTCAAAGTGTGCAAAGTCTCATCCAAGCAGCTGCACGTTACTGAAGAACAATTGGCTGACCACTAGGGATGTCGGATTAACCGGTTTTACGATAATCGCGGTTTGATAACGTCACGATTTCATAACCGCAAGAATTGTAAAAACCACGATATCTAACTATGCCCGAGCCACTGAAACATTAGTTGAGAAGAGAGAACTGACTTAACTTGACTTATTTCCACCAATGCTGGACAAAGAACTCCATCGGAAGAGTTAGGAGAAAAACTTGCTTACTTTCAGTTACTGACCTCTCTCTCTCTCTCCCCCTCCCTCCCTCCCTCACCATATTAGTATAATAAGGACATGAAGAATGAGGCTTGAACCAGGACATGTTCAGTTTTTCAAAACTAGTCAATATGTCGCTCCCATAACAGAAGAACTTCCATTGCTGACCCTTCAAAATAAAACTACACAGCTTATGACAGGAAACACAAATTTAGTGACCAACCTTCCACAATAAGGCAATTAGATAAAATAGCTTACATAAATTACTTTTAAATAGATAAACGTTATACTTTAAAAACGAACTGAAAAAAGATGGTGATAGTAATACATATTTTAGTTAGCTATATATATTGCTTGTTGTGAGTCTTTTTTCTTCTATAGTATCGATAATCGTGAAAACAATGTCGCCCTGATATTTCCTCGGACAATCGCAAAATTTCATATTGTGACATCCCTAGTTGTGTGTCTTTTTCCTTCTATAGTATCAATAATAAATCGTGAAACTGTGATATTTCCTCTGACAATAATCGTGGCACCAAAATTTCATGTCGTGACATCCCTACTGACCACTACCGTCTAAAATTGAGAACTTCTTGTATTATTGAGCAGGGTACAAATACAGCAGCAGGGGTGAGCTGTGATAACACCATTGAGCTTCTAAACTAAAGCATTGCAATGAATATCGTCCCCTTATTTTTAGCATCTCTGTGATTATGATGTCTAATGATGTGAGCGCTGGCAGACAGCACTTTGTCACTCAGTGTGTGCTGCTGAGTGCTGTGTATTTGGATTCGGCTGCGGTGCTGAGACAGGCATCCTATACAACTTCTTTGTGTAACGCTCAATCTATTGGAGCAGAGACATGAATGCTCGCAATTGCATTGAATTTTAAACAACACAACGTGTCAGCGTACAAAACAGTGATGATGAGGTTTTTGCACAACCAGCAGTTAGACATTCCTCTCTTTGCAAATATAGCCAACAATAAAGGAGCAATAATCATCCATTTACATGACTGCAAGTGTCACTACTCGAACAATCAGAGGGCTTGCATATGCTGCTCAATGACTTCTCCACTGTAATGCATTATGTAATATGTTAACACAGGTCTGTGGAGTTTTTTTTAATTCTTATAAATACCACAACTCTTCCAATGCCTTCTTTTGTTGAGCTTCAAGGACCTTCACTCATTCAGTATTGCCCAGCACTGAGCACGTCAGGCTCTGCATAGTCAGAGAAGCCCCATCCTCCTACATAGACTACAGTCGGGCAAGATAACATAAAGTACTACATGACAGTGCGCATCAAAAGGAGTGTCGGGAAGATCTACACTGACATTACATCCTTTTTGAGGAGCTCACCTTGTGCTAAGAGGCTTTTTTCTGCATGAGATGCTCTTCATCCGAGCCTCTTCCTCTGGGATAAATGAAAGTACAGGAATGGTATCCAGCAGTGAGTAAAACAACCATGCGTTGTGCTGTTTAACATAGTTTAAATAATGACTAATTGACATTTTTTTTCAATGCAAAAGTCAGTTTGCATTGCAGAACTAAGAAAATCCTGCAACACTGCTTGAACACACCCATTTTATCCACTCCTGCATGCACCTTCTCATTTACAGTTAGGTGGTGAAATGCACTGTTTGAATCTTTGCTCATGTCACATTTTAGTAGTGGAATGTGCACTTAAGGATTAATAAAAGAGAGGGGGGGAGTTACCTTCTTCAGGGCTGACATGCTAAGGTGGATCCTCCTCCTGCAAAAAAAGCCCGTTTACATGCTGGGGTCCCAAGCCAAGTTTGGAGGGTGCGCAAATCCTAACTCTGCCCGGTGCTGATGCTGAGCCATGAGGTGCCTGCTTAATATTCTCATCTCATCTCGCCTCCAGCCGCTGGCTCCGTGTGCTCACGCCCCTAAACACACTGTAGTTGCAGGATCCGTACGCAGGGGGAGCTGTAGCCTGATGCATCAACCCCATCACACATATAAATTGGCCTTGAAATTAATTGGCCTTGATCACTGTGACGGGAAGACACGATCACTCCACTGACTTCAGATCATGGTGGAGGAACTGTCAAGTTCAATTCGTCCTGCACTGATTACATTAGACGTGAATTACTCTGAAGAGATTTAAAGTTATCCTTCCTTTAGTCCTTCCCATCCATGGTCAATCAGTGTCATAATTACAAGTTCTACCCTACATGCTACATTAAATAGCACTGCTTTCTATGCCGAATTGAAGAATGGCTTTGACTGATCCAGAAAATGTACTAAACCATGATGTTAAAGACAGACACTTTTTAAAATAACCAAATCCAAATTGCATTGCCACTAATTTGAATGGAATTCGGCCCAGCCTAGAGGTTCTCCCCCTCACACCCAGCCCTGTATTGTGTGAGGAGCAGGTGATGCAGAGCTGGACGACTCACAGCTTTACTGGTTTACTTTAGTTCGTGTAGTTCAAGTGAATTTAACAAGTTATTTCTGAACACGAGTCGCACAGCTCTTACTTCCTGTGCGCGTGTGTGACACCGTCTCCTCCTCATTTTGAAGGCGAGCATGCTGGTTAGCTTGCTAGCTTGCTACCTGTAGCTGCCTAGCCACCAGCAACACTCGTGTTTGCTTCGTCTTCGCTTCCTGTCAGCGACATGACACAGAGGAAAGAAGGTGAGCATCGCCAGTGTCCACTTCATTCTCAGGGGAATCAAGAACCTCACGTTGTATCGTATGTTTTGATGCTAGCTTGCTAACTTAGCTAACCGGCAGCTAAGTCTCGCGTTAAGTGGTAATCGTTGTAAACAAACGCACGTGTTCCACTGTCAAACTATCACCATTGTCCAAAACTGTGTCACTGCGATGTTGACAAAGCAGGTTACGTTGAACTACAAGCTCTAGTTCAGTTTATCTGGTTTAGCTCAGGTTGAGCTATTTGATTTCCCATCAAACTTACTGGTTCCTTAAAGCTTTGCAATTTAAATGAATGGTACAGTGCAGTGTTTTCCTCTTAGTGTAGCTGTGTGACATCTGTGGATCTGTCCTCTGAGCTGTCAAAATATTTCCCCTGTCTCGTTTATCGTAGACTGTAATGCTGTGTTTTGTAGAATGGAAGCATTTTGATTCTGTGGATTGGATGATGTGCAAATATTGTTTTTAGCTGAATTAGCTTATTATCTTGTGGAAGTCTGGGGGAGGAGAAAAGAACTGTCTTTATCAAGTCTTTATGTGTCTGTGTGTGTGTGTTTGTGTGTGTTTTCCCTTTTTTACAGGTTTCGTGTATAGATAGATAGATAGATAGATCCCTGAGGGAAAATTCTTGTATATGATACAAGATGATGTTTGTGTTTGTGAATTAGGGATGTCTCATAATAACGTATCTCATAATAAAGTGATGGCCCTAATGTACTGGCATGCCAGAAATAAAAAATATCTGCATGTATGTACATAATCCATAAAACAGCGACTCTTTCACATGATGGTAGAAGTGGTTGCTTCAAGGACTTCATCCTTTGTTCTCCTTATATTGGGCTTTATAACCTTCTGTGCAGATTAAACTCACTGAACTCTGCATTGTTAAATGTCAGATTTTAGCACGAAAGTAAACATTATGTTTCTTGTTCATACAAGAGGTCAGGTGCCTTGAAATGCCAATGATAATGTCATGTCTCTTTTTGTGTCTGTTTCTGTCTTTCTTAGTATTTCAGTCAAAAGTTCTGCAGAGGCTTTTTCCTGCAGCTCCCAAATTGGACAAGGAACCCAGCCCACCATGCATCGTAGAAGCTCTAGCCAAGAAAACCTTTGTGAAAAGAAAGAAAGCTCAAGAGGACACTGCTGCAGGTATGTTGAGAAACTTGCAGCAAAAAAAAATTTAGAAAAACTTCTTTTTCTCACTTTCCCTTTTTTTTCTTTTTTTTTTACAAAAGACACAATCACATGTTAGAACATCATCATATAGAAATATCCCTGTCAGCTCTCAACATCAGGTTCTAACAGCTTTCTTTGTGTGTCTTAGGTGATGCAGGGCAGACGCAGAGTGCAGCCATTCCCCACCCTCGGGTTTACACTGTTCTTCCTCCTCCTGCAGATTACAAGACACATCCAGAGAAATCAGTCACACTCTCTCAACTAGAAAGTATAAACAGTGCCAAGGACCCAGCTGGTAAGACGACCATAATCCTACATTTATGGACTTGTGCCATGCACCATAAAGCTGGGAGAGATATATATGGGTTTTCTCCAGGTTGGCTCTCTGTACTGAAGTCACTCTTTCTGATTATGCTGCCACTCTAGTTAGTGGAAAACGACAGTGATAATCAATTGTGTTCCCGAACTGCAGAGAATTTGAACGCAGTGCAGATGGTGTTTTAGCTCGGGTGATTTCTTTTCTTCTTTTTCCTTTTTTCCCTTTGAAAGCTCTATTAAATGTGTTGTTTGTGAGATATATCCCAGCAAAGCGATGCTTAGCCCTCTGTGGTGCTGTCTTTTAGGCTGAATTGTGAGCTGGTGTTAAAGCCAAGATGAAATATTCTTGACCTGTGATGTGCAGAGTTGGCTCGTAATTCGATACGGAGAGTAAGTCTCACACTTGGCAGTTGATATGCATCATTTAAAGACTGTTTATCTTTGTGAACCAATGAAATTCTCAGGCTGTAATAAAAGCCCTGGCTCATTACACGTGTCTCTATACTTATCATCATCTTCCTTGATGCAGTCCTTCATCCACCTGACAGGCCTCTGCTTTACCTCAGTGAAATAAAAGAGATTTGTCGGCTCAGACACTACAGCGTCCAGAATAAATTATAAGGTGAAGTTTGATTAATTGTGCTCGGCAGCTGAACACTGCTTAATTTAACACGTTTTTGATTTAGTGGGCAAGGAGCCTTGATGGATGGTGCGATCCAGAGTCCTGTATAAGGTCATATTGAGTTGGACTGTATAAACGTTTCCTGACAATAAAGCAGTTAATATAATATCAGAGAAACAGTCCAACACTAACTAGTTAATGTGATGGTAATGGTGAATGTGTTCAGCCTGAGTAGAAATCTCAATCATTGATTTACCAGATGTATTTTTATGCTGTGTTTACAGTGAAGTCTGTGCTCACAACATTTTATAGTAAGATATGGAAATAAAACTAATGCAAAGCTCCATATTGATGTGCAGTTGTAGTCTCATGCTAATTAAAGAAATAAATCTTTGATCCACTACTTTTTCAGCTGATTCCTGCTTGATGTTCCAGTTTGAACAGGGGAAAAAACAATTTTCTCTATCCAAATTAGACAAGGATGTTTACTGCCTGTTTAGAAGCATTTTTCTCATTACCTCTGATTCATTCACTGACAACTTTGTTAGGAACGCCATAACAATGCAGGGTAGTTCCTCCCTTTGCTCTCAGAGGTTTGTGGCATGAATCTTATGTTGGAAACTTTCCTCTGCTCCATGTTGACGTAACTATATCACATCATTTCTGCAGATGTGTCAGCTGCACATTCATGCTGCAAAACTCTTCCTCTGCCACATCCTAGAGGTTTTAAGGCTTCAGATACAGGAACTGTAGTCACGAAGAACAGCAAATGCCAGTAGAATGGTAGATGTTAAATTGTGACCATATAAGGATGCACATGGTCAGCAACAATCCCCAGAGAGACTGTGGCATTCAAGGTGTGATTGATACTAAGTGTGGCAAGAAAACTCCCCACACCAGTACACCACCACCACTTTGTGTCATGCTGCTGACTCTACCATCTACTCAACTCAAATCAGGATTCTGTTGGTTATGTTTTTCCAGCCTGTAGCTGTCCTGTGTTGGTGAGTCTGTGTGAGCCTGGGCCCGGGCAGACAAGAGTGGAGCCTGATGTATTTTGTAGCTCTTCACCTCAAGGTTCAACATGATTGTTCTGAGATGATCTTGTGTTTACAGCAGTTGTAGACACAGTGGTGTTTTTCTGAGTTACAGTCTTTCTGTCAGCTCCAACCAATCTGGCTGTTCTGTTCTGACATCTCTCATCAGCAAGGTGTTTTCATCCACTGTCAAGAACAGGAGATCTGCAGTTTCAGAAATACACACACAGTCCCATTTGATCCTCATCCTGATATTTTAACTTTAACCGAAGCTCCTTTCCTGTGTCCGTGGTACTTTCATACTTGCATGAATAAGCAGGTGTGCAGTTGTTTAGAATAAAGTTCCTGATTGGTTTTTACTATATGGAGACTGTGAAGTCAGTATTCTCTCTGTTTCTATTCTGAGGAACGTATTGACGTTAGACACTGTTTAATTTTTAATCTTCCACTCCATGCTCTGTTCAGGATCTGTTTCTGAGCAGATGGTTGCAAGACTAAACCACGAGAGGAACAAAATGACAGCAAGTTCAAGATGTCCTTCAGATTTAGCTAAATTTACACTCAGAGAGACACGTCATGTTGTACAGTACATTTTTCACTCTAAACCTTGTTTGAGCTGAAACTCCTTCTTTTCTTGTGGTTATGCACTGCCACTTCTTCAGCTGCATTATGTCCATGTTGCTACCCAGTCAGATGCTGCTGCTCACTGTAGTGAATGGCTGAGTGGCTAAGAATTCGATGGGGTGCTGCTTTCTTTGACCTCAGAATGACTCAGGAGTTGTTAAGGAGAAGGGAGGTGTGACGAGGCAGAGAGGGAGCTGCTCTTCTAACAAGATCCCTGTTTCTGCATGGACTCACATCTCAGTTACATTCATTCCTGGTGAAGTCTAAAGAAATAGACCTATGCAGTGATAAAAGCTATGACATTACTACAGGAGGAGCAGTGATGATTTCTATAGAGTAGGAGGAATGTGATAATTTTGTGTGTACATTTATGCACAATACAAAAATGTTACATAAGCTTAGTGATCGCCTTCATTTTTCATCAGATTTAGACCTGGATTCAACATTAAAGAATTTTGCAAAGCAGCATGGGAAATGTAGAGACACCGAATACAGGATTCTGTCATATTTACAGTTTACTGATTTTACTGTACTTTCATTTACTGCCATTTGACTTGTTCCATGAAAACAGAACACCAGTGAAAAAGACAAAGCATCTCTTTGATGGCATCAACTGTTGCATTGATCAACTGGAGGGAACCAGAAAAAACCTGTTATGCGAATGCAAGAATCTGCCATTTTTTCCTGATCCGATTCAGACCCCTCAAGAGTAGAGTTGCATGTGAAGAGTGAACTTGATTCTAACCAAGAGCTTTCAATGTTGTTGCCCACAGAAGAGAGCGTGCATGAGAGCAATGAGGAGCTAGACCAGGATAAGGAGCAAGAAGAACACAAAAGAAAAAGGAAAAGGAGGAAAAGGAAACCAGGTCCTCATCAAGACTCTGGGCAAGATGGTGCAGCTCCAGGTCAGAGTCAAACTGTGGCTGTGGTTGAGGGAGGAGAGCACATTAGCAGGAACAAGAAGAGGAAGCTGAAGAAGAAACGGCACAAAGAGAAGCTGCTCTCCATGGGTGAGATGCCCCGAGCTGCTGCCCTGGTGTTTACGTACCAAAAAGATGGGGGAGAGGAGGAGGAGGATAATGATAATGAGAGGAGAGCTGCTGAGGTGTCAGACTTCCTCAGGACAACACTGGAAATCTATTTGTCAGATCGTAAGTACTGGCAGAGGCTCTTGTAGCTCTTTTACCTCTGAACTAAATCTACCAGTCACTGTTAAATCGAGTGCAAACGTTCCTCGTTGACTGGAAAACACCCTGCTGTTAAAACTTTGAAAACTTTTTAAAATCATGTTGGGAGTCATTATGAGCGAAGCTGGTGCAATTCAAAGATGTAATCCTGGAACACTTAATTAACTGCTGCCGAAAGCACATTAATCAAAACCAGTGACCAGAATGTATTGACCCTTTGCCACAGCACATCTGTGCTTATTTGGAAAATTCGTGAGAGTGCATGAATTAACAGAGATGTTAAAACATAGCATCAAATAAATGAATAAAATCAGAATTGCAGTGAGTTCTAACTGGTGAGCATCCACAACTGTTTTGATTGATTTATTCAAATTCATTTTAAAGCAACACTGTGTAACTTTTACTGAGCAGCAGCTCAAATACATCAAACTCTGTTTAGAATTCTTTGTATTTTTAGATTTCCTCACTAAATATTGGAGCTAAATGCTAGATTTTGATTTGACTTATAATTCATTTTAACTGCTCTTCAGTTCAGCATTACTGATGGGTCTGATTCTGGCAATTTAAGCAGCGACTATCAGTCAGATATACATAGAGCAAGTACAGGTGTTCAGGGTGAGGAGTGAAAATGAAAGCAGTGCTATTCTATATCAGTGAACCATCAAACACATTTTTAAGCTGAAATATTTCTTGTGTTTGAGTTGGATAACACCTCATCCTTCTCCTCTGTGCTTCTCCAGCCAAATTGCATGTAGAAAACAAGAGTCCTCGCCTGTCCGGCACAGTGGACAACCTTCTGAGCCACATATCCAGCGGATGTGAGCCGAACTCTGTCCTGAAGCAGCTCTATAGTCTCAAGACTTCTGTTCAACACAAAGAGATGGCAAAACTGGAAAAGGCGCTGCAGGAGCTACACAACAGCTCGAGTATGACTGCAGGTCAGTACTGGTATCAGGGAAAACATCAAAAATGTAAATTGTATTTCCCAAGAAGAGCAAGCGATAAAAGAAACTGTGATAAGGCTGCTAATAAGAGCTTTAGTCGTGTAAAATGCTGTTTCGTGTTTGTTCCGAGGATTTATCTGCGTCTACACTGGCCTCCTCTTGCCCGGATCTGCCAAGGCACCTCACAGACCTGTCCCTGCAGGTTAATACTTGCCTCTGTCTGTCAGCGCCTGCCTCTCATTCTCACAGCGATGTGTATTGTTCACCTGAGTATACCTGCCCTTAATCACCTTCATCTGCTTTTACCTGTATGTACCTGCCCTCGATTTGCAACACTTGAGCCAGCGTAGTTAATAATATTACATCTCACACTCATTGTGACCTCCACCATGAATTAACGTGTTTGAACTTGTTGATTGCCAAAACATCTCTGGTGTCCCCTGAGTGTGTGTTGGTGTCTGTGTGTGCTCGTGCACTCATTTGCGTGCTTGGCTAGCTGCACGATAATAGGATCAGTAGGGACTTTGCTGCTGTCCTGCGCAGAAGTGTGTGTGTGTGTGTGTGTGTGTGTGTGTG